TTGATTTAGCCATTCTGACATGTCGGAGGTCATATCTCATAGTAGTATGAATTTACATTTCACTGATGGTAAGTGATGATGAGCATATTTTCATGTGTCTGTTGGCCATCTGGATATCTCCTTTGGAGAAATGTCTATTTATATCTTCTGCTCATCTTTTAATTGGATTATTTGTCTTTTGAGTGTTGAGTTTTATAAGTACTTTGTATATTTTGGATTCTAACTCTTTATCAGATATGCCATTCAGTAGATTGTTATTGTGTGTGGTGTAAGAAGTGGTCAGTTTCATTTTTTGCATGTCCAGTTTTTCCAATACCATTTGTTAAATATACTGTTGTTTTCCTACTCGATATTCTTTCCTGCTTTGTCGAAGATTAATTGACTACGTAAATGTGAGTTTATTTCTGGGGTTTGTATTCTGTTCTATTGATCTATGTGTCTATTTTTGTGCCAGTACCATAATGTTTTGATTTCTACAGTCTTTTAATATAAATTGAAGTCTGAAATTGTGATCTCTCCAGCTTTGTTTTTTTCTTTTTCAAGATTGCTTTGGCCATTTGGAGTCTTTTGTGCTTCCATACAAATTTTAGGATTCTTTGTTCTAGTTTTGTGAAATCTTCCTCACTGTGTGCCATGAGTTTCATATCACTGTTTCCATGCTGTATGTCCATAGGCTGCCCATCTGTGTTCTCTCTAAGAGCAGCACAGTGTCCTTGTTCTTCTAGAACCAAGTCTGTTGACCTTTAAAATTCCAGGCTTTAAGTCCCAGTGGTTGCAAGAACTCATGAAATTTGGCCCCTCTCACTTTCCAACTCAACTGCCATGTGGAATTGTCTTCCCTGTGTGCTACCCACTGTGCTAGTCTGTCTTTTGCCCTTCTCCTTGACCACATCTCCCTCCTTACCACAGAATTCATGATTTGTTTCTTTCCCAAATTGTGTGGCCACACTCTATACCATCTTTGATTTAGGCTCTTCTGGACTCTTCTCTACCATTAGTGGTGGAGTTTGTTCTGCCAGTCTTAGGGTTGAATTCTAGGGTACTTAGGATGACTTGCTAGTCACCTACTCGTATGTGTTGGATAAGGGAAGCCTAGGGTCCTCCTATTCCATTGCTATCTTCTTCTCTAAATTCCACCCATCTTTTTGGTGGGGGGGATCCCCACCCATCTAATTATTATTATTATTATTATTATTATTAATTGCTGCAAAAAGCTTTATTATTTACATTTGGTCCATAGCTTGAGAGAGGGCTGCAGCGTAGTTAAAAAGCTGCCTAGTGTCCATGGGGAGAGGCTAAGGCACAAGCCATGGCACCAGGGGGAATGCCAGAAGGGCCCTTCAAGAAGGCTTCTGGGCTCCAGAATTTCTGAGTCATGCTTGAGGGTGAGCCTTTCCAAGAGATACTCATTCATCCCAGCCTGGGAGTCAGCCAGCCTTTCACCTAATCTAGGAAATGGTCTCTAGCAAGTCACAGAAATGGGGGTCTGCACGGGTAGAACCCAGGGTATGTAGATCCAAAGGGGGCTTGTTCAGGCTCTTTTCCGGACCCAGGGCAACTTCCATGGCATCCAGGGTGTTACCTCCACTCATCTTGGGATGGCTTCTGTATGTCCTTGAAGAGCGCATGGCTGCCACACTAATTTTGCATCCTCAAGAGTCTCTCAGTGCCCTCCTGCTTCTCCTCAGCCAATTCATGGAAGAAGTGGCCCATGCCCTCCAGAGCCACATCTTCATGGCCAAAATGGAAGCCAAGAGAGAGGTAGGTGTAAGAGGCCCACAGCTGTATGTTGACCAGGCAGTTGACAGAGGCCTCCACCTGAGTGGAATAGCTCTGACAAATCCGGGTGTTCATGGTTGATTGGTAATAAGGAGCAAAGCTCAAAATCGGGGTATTGGCTGGACCCGGAGACAGAGAGTGGTCAAGAAGATGGCTCCAAATGTTGCAACTGGATAAAAGGTTGGAGAGTTATCAGAGACTGGTAGAAGGGGCACCCCTGAGTCTGTCCCATCCAAACATTGTTGAAGCAAGAGAAGGATTGGCAGGACCACCCGTACACTGCCCCCACTCATCTCTCAAATGCTGAAAGATTGTGCCAAAAGAACAAACCCAGGAAAAGTCTTTCTGTTAGTGATATAAGATGACATGATTAGCTCACATTTCTTTGCCTGTTCAAAAATTGAATAGTTTAATTGAAGGGACAAATATTCTTTGAGTGTAGGAGTTCTTCACCCTGATAGGCACATAGGTCATATAAGGAGAATTACTACATGAAAGAGTAGTTTTGATAGATTATAAATGGTAGTTAAGATTATTTAATAGTACAAGGGCCACTGAGATTCTGGAAGATGCAGGATAGGGTAATTTTTTTTTATGTTTATTTATTTATTTCTGAGAGAGAAAGAGAGAGAGAGAGAACCCACAAGTAGGGGAGGGGCAGACAGAGAGAGACCACAAGTAGGGGAGGGAGGGAGAGAGAGAGAGAGAAGGGGGGGGGGAGAGAGAGAGAGAGAGAGAGAGAGAGAGAGAATGTGAAGCAGGCTCCAGGCTCTGCACTATCAGCACAGACCCCAAAGAGGGACTTGAACTCATGAACCATGAGATCATGACCTGAGCTAAAGTTGGACGCTTAACCAACTGAGCCACCCAGGCGCCCCAGGATACAGTAATTTATGAAAAAAAAAAATTCCAGTGAATGGAAAACATGTGAGCACAGAATACGTAGTTATATATTATTAGAGAAGGACAAAACAGATCTTTACTGATTATCTACAATGTGTCAGACATACAGATACACAGACCAAGCCTATAGGAAGCTTAATAAATTTAATAAAATATTCACCTGTTTCATTTCATATATTTGTCCTCTCTTCCCCATTAATTTCATTGACTCAGCCATGTTTAGAAGACATTATCGTAAAGAGATAGTTAACTTAATAAAGTTTTATGCCTGCTTGATTATGATGAACTGGTTGTTAGTTTAGCCTCTATGTTCTGGAAAGTGCTGGTGTGCTGCCACCTGGTGGTACTTAGTGAACATTGCAAAACAAAATAATAGGTATCCTATCTGATTTCTCAAACAAATCTCAGTTGCAGGTAGGGACACCCAGTTTATGACAGCCTTCTGCACACGTGTGAATTTACACACTTACTTTTTTACAGCTGAGGGCTGGTATGTGTGTAGGGGAGAATGAACTTCATGAACACAATCAAAATTGAGAAGAGGTGATAGAATATGACAAAACTCCAAAATGCCATACCTGCTACCTGAGTGGAACTCACTAGAATATAAATGAACAAATATATGCATATTGAATACAAATGCAAAGCCATATATAAACTTGGTCAGATAGTTGCCACCAAATACTTGCTGAGTGCATGAAACATTTAGGAACTGTTCAGAAAACAGGCTGCAGTTGCAAACCACACTTAATCTCAAGCCTTGCTGCAAAATTTTGTATGATTAGCCTTTCAGACATATGAATGGACAGTCGGGCCATTTTAGAAATAAAAGGCTGCTTTCCCGGGCCAGGAAATCAGAAGATTGAAACAAATCATGCCATCTCTCTTTTGAAATAAAGAATCAGCTGATGCAAAAATGCCATGCACCACATTTCCTCATATAAGTAAATTATATTACCTTCCAAAGCTGATTTTAAACAAAACAGTAAAAAGATATATTGTAAGGTTTATCTAGGCTTTTTGTCTCAGTATGTCTGGAAGCTCTCTGTATAAGTAGTAGGAATGAGTACAGGAAAATGTCATCATGAATGTATGTTTCCAATCCCCTTTATTCTGAACCCCTGAAATGATTCAAACAATCAGATGGGCAATTAGAAGAATATGTTTAAAAATCACAGTTAAGGATGAGTTGCAAAACAGTGGCTGGATATACAGTATCAAAAAGGAGAGAAATGTTCATAGACAGCAAGGATTTTTAGAAGGGAAGCAATGATGTTATTAAAAATATAGAAAACCTCAGTAAATACTGGCAGTTATGAGATGCCTATTTTCTTTCCATCTGAAAGGCAACCATTAGAAAATCCTATAACATCCCTGTGGTGGTGGAGGTGTGGGCAAATGATGACTCTAATATCCACAGGAATACAAACCTGAGGCTAATTTTGTAATGCTAAAACTGTACCCTCTCCAAACCCTTTGATCTATTATCTTCCTAATGTCATAGCATTTCTAAGTAAACAAGTACTTGAAAAAAGATATCCATTTGTGTATTGTTTGAAGTAGAAGAAAACCCAAAGTATACCTGAATGTCCATCTGTAAGTAAATTACAATACATTAAAACTATGGTATATATGCTTTGGCTAAAAGAATGAGATAAGTTTACGTACATTGCCATGAAAATATTTTAGGGACATATTGTTCTGTGCAAAAATAAAATTGCAGAACCATGTGTGTAACTATAATGTAATTTTAATAAAGGAGCACTAAGTAGCAAGCCGTATCTCAGTTTGTGCGTGTATATGTGGATGTATGCACAGAAGGCTGTCCTGCAGGACATGTATCACAGCAGCACGCAAGGGAGGGAGTTAGGGTGGAGAGGCTAGTAAAGAAGACTTCTGCTCTATCTTTAGCATGTTTCACAATGAAAGGACTCAAGAATTACTTGTATCAATTTAAAGTGAATAAATAATGGTTTAAAAATATTTTAGGAAAAGGAGAAATAAGGAAAGTAGGGATGGAAGGATTTGTAAGGTTGCAAATATTCATTGTGAGAATCCAGAGAGCCAGCAAACCCCTGGTTTTGACACCTTCATACTGTTTGCGGAAAGCATAAAGGGTCTTAATCAGCTGGTTGAGAGACTCTGCTCTGGTTGACATAAAATCGAGTAGGATATTGACTCTTTTCTCAATATCCCAACCTGTGTGCCTGCTCATACCAAGCAGGCATTTAGAACTCTCAAGCTCCGAGACTTGGAAAGAAGCACTGTAGAGACTCAGCATTCAGGAGCGGGTGGCAAGATTGCACTCCATGACTTACATGTCCCCGAACTTTCCTGGATGCAAAGCTCAGCACCCTGCTGATGATCACTATGACTCTCTCCTGCAGGTATGAGCTGTCATCATTCATCCACATGGCCATCTCCTGTGGGAAACACAAGAATCCTTCTAGAGCGTGGCGTTTCCATTTCTACAAGTCCCTTCTTTTTTGTCTCCAACTTCACCATGGGGGTGAAGGGGGATCCTGATTATTTCACATCTAACTTACATTTCTCTCAAAAAGATGCCAACAAGCTAGTTGTATACTACAAGCTATCTAGTTACACTACTTCATCTACTGTACTATCTACACCTGGGTAGGATGTTATTTATTTGTTTTGTTTTCTATTTATTATTATATTTTTTAATTTAAGTTCTAGTTAGTACTAGTTTTATTGCTAAGGCAGTAGTTATGGTAGATGCTATAGGGTGACTAATAATCTGAATCGGCTTTGAAATAAACATACTAGCCATCATCCCTATTCTCATTGAAAAATACAAACCATGGGCCACGGAAACATCCACAAAATATTTCCTGACACAGGCAACTGCATTTATACTCCTAATAATAGGAATCATTTTCAATCTTCTATACTCAGGATAATGAACAATATCAAAAACCCTCAACCTATAGCATCTACCATAATACCACTGCCATAGCAATAAAACTAGGCTTAACCCCATTCCACTTCTGAGTTCCAGAAGTCACGCAAGGTATCCCTATATCCTCAGGCCTAATCCTACTAACAAGACAAAAAAATCACACCACTATCCATCCTCTATCAAATCTCACCCACCATCAACCCCAACCTGCTACTACCAATAGCCATTATATCAGTCCTAACTGGGGGCTGAGGAGGACTTAACCAAACACAACTATTAAAAATTGTACAACTGAAAATATGGTGAAGTACTGGTTTCAGGAGTAGAATTTAGTAATTCACCATTTACATATAACACCATGTGCTCATCCCAATAAGTGCCTTCCTTAATGTCCATCACCCTTTTAGCCCATCCCCCCACCCTCCCTCCTCCAGCATGGGTTGTATGTTATTTAATTATATCCAACGAGTATTGACTAATGTGCAATCTAACAGTCACTTTGTCAGTCACCCCAAAGAGCTAAACACGAGGCTGTGACTGGATTATCAGCTGCTGCTTTTTTTCTTTCTAAGTACATATCCTCTCTCTTTAATCACAGGATCTGACTTTCTATTTTAAAAAAGAATTGAAATGTCATCTGAACCTGAAATGTCATTTTACTCCAGAATTTCCTCTGCAGATTCAATACTCAGATATTTTCTGGCTCATGGTTGCAGAAAATATTCCTGGAGGCAGCTCAGTTAGAAGGCTTGTTAATTTGGATTCAACTCCCTCTTGCTGTATGTAACTTCTATTTGTTCTAAGTCTTCAGAGGCAGGGACATATTTACAAGCTTGGGAAGGGAGGAAGCCTGCATATGTCTCACATGCCAGTGGCCATTAACAGATTTCTTAAGGCACTTTGCTGGAGTCCACAGTATTTATGCTAAATAATCCCCTTTCTTTGCTCCCATTGTATAAAATTAAATGCATGGAAAATATTTAGCTCAAATTAGGCACAAATTTACTTAGTATATTTTATTTCTCCTCACATTCCTTCTTGTCTTCATAGATGCCAATTCTTTTTCTTTTTAAATATAGTTTATTGTCAAGCTAGTTTCCATATAACACCCAGTGCTCATCCCAACAAGAGTTCCTCCATGCCATCACCCATTGTTCCCTCTTCCTTAATCCCCATCAACCCTCAGTTTGTTCTCAATATTTGAGAGTCTCTTATGGTTTGTCTCCCTCCCTCTCCTTAACTATTTTTTCCCCTTCCCTTCCCCTATGGTCCTCTCTTAAGTTTCTCCTGTTCCACATATGAATGAAAACATATGATATCTGTCTTTCTCTGCCTGACTTATTTCACTTAACGTAATACCCTTGAATTCCATTCACGTTGCTACAAATGGCCAGATATTATTCTTTCTCATTGCCATGTAGTATTCCACTGTATATATAAATCACATTTTCTTGATCCATTCATCAGTTGATGGATATTTAGTCTCTTTCCATGATTTGGCTATTGTTGAAAGTGCTGTCATGAATCAATTCTGCTTCTTTACGTGAACGTATTTTATAATTTGCACAAACTCATAATGCTCTTGGTAGAATAAGTCACTCTGGTTCCCCAATATTTTCAGACAGGTGTCCCCAATGCCATCATGCTAGAAATGCACAACTGAAGGTCATCAGATATCCTGAGCAGTCTCCTATCTCTGACTGAGACCTTAAAAACAGTGAAGTCTTGATGTAAGTGGGGTTTTGCACAGCTGTTAAGCCTTCCTCTGATATCAGAATCTCCATGAGGATAGGGTGTTCATGGGATTCTAAGCATATAGACGCTATCAAAGTATGATTTACTGTTGCACAGGCCTGAATGTGGTTTAAGCCAATCAACCACCTCTTCTCTGCTAACCCATATTCTCACATAAAATTTGTCTTCTTAAGGGTCTGTTGATGTCATTGTCCCCAAATTGAATTTTAAAAAAATTTTTATTTATTTTTGAGAGAGAGGGATAGAGTGTGAGCAGGGGAGGGGCAGAGAGAGAGAGAGAGAGAGAGAGAGAGAGAGAGAGAGAGAGATTGATTGATTTAAAGCAGGCTCCCGGCTCTGAGCTGTCAGCACAGACCCTGACACGGGGCTCAAACTCACGGACCATGAGATCATGATTGAGCCACCCAGGCACCCCGCAAAATTGAATTCTTAACAGTATGTCTCTGTAATCCAAATAAAGGGAAGTGATTTCATTTGGGGGATATTGTACACCTTCTAGGAAAAAAAATTCAGCCACTAAATACTTGAAGAAGATGTAAGTATGACAAAAGGGAAATGATAAGTGAAATACAGTGAAATTTTTAGATTTAAGGTCAGAAAAACAAAAGTGCTTACTTTCTCTTAACTTTACCTTTAAGATTTGCAATTTGTAGAGATCTTTAGATACTAATATCAGAAGAGTGTCTTCATATATGTTTAAAATATTTTGATATAAACTCTGAAAAACAAAAATATTGCACAACCAGTCAGCCAGATAAAAGTCGACAGAATTGTACTCAGTGTCTATAGTTTTGTGTCCTGGGGTCCTGAGTTCTCCCCATACACTGAAAGTCAGAAAGGACTTTGCCCATAAACTCTTGTCCTTGCTAAAACTATTAACCTAAAATCTCTTCATTCATTTGTTCATAAAACTCCTTTATAATCCATTAAATCCCAAGGATTGTAGAATTCAGGAGTCCAGAGGCACTGGAATAGACTATTAATCTATTATATCTAAAAAGGGTGAAGGCGATCACAAGGTGGAAGGGCATTGAGCAGGATTGCTGTGGTGTATAATTCATAATTGAGGCAGAGATTTACCTCTAGGTCTTCTTTTTCATGTTCGCTGTTCCCCAGTTCCCTCACTTTCTCAAGACTTGGTATAGAAAATACATTTTTAAAAGATGACTCTATTATCTTCAGTTGGGATTCAAATTGCAGCGAGGGATCTACAAAGCTGATGAGAAAAAGGTACGATTATTAAATAGAGAAGAGAACAAATGCAACCTAACTCTGGTGCTCTTTCTTGTGTCAGAAGGAATGTACTAGAAAATGAGACCTAGCTCTTGGCTTTCTATAACATGTGGGCTTTTAAACAGTCTCATAAAAATAACAATGTCGCTTTAAATATAAAGGAATGAATTTCTTTGTAAAAATCATCTGTAATCAGTTATTTAGAAACCAGAATATATTTCTGCATAGACATAATAATGTAAAGAGTGGTTACATTTCCAGGAAAGCCCGCAAAGCCATGCTGAGCTTTAGTTGAAATATATTACTGTCACTTTTTCTCTCAACTACCGTACGATGTTTCTCACATTTAATATTTCTGATACTATTGGGATGCATCCCTCCAATTGCTGGCAACTTGCCCTTCAGTAGTTGAAAAGATCGATTATGACCTAGTTGTTATTCCTTTGATTATGTGTGATTTTTTTTAAGGGGAAAATGGTTTCTTATTTTTTGAAAAGATGGTAAGGTAGGAAATTTTGTGCTGGACTCAGAATATCTTTTCTCTACTGGACAAGAAAATGGAAATATCTAATGCCCACTGCTTGAAATGGAAACTTTTAAAATATATTAGATAGTTTTCAAATCTTGGGAAGATTAACTTGACTTTTTTATGGTTTATGAATTATCAGCTATCTGTCAAAAGCCTCCAGTAGAATTTTCAGGGCAAGGTATCTAACATTTAGGGATAAATAACTTGGTTTAGCAACTTGACAGTAAACTATTTAAGAAAAAAAATAACTTGGTTTAGGAAAATGCAAAATGAAGATTTTGATGAAATAGGAAATAGTCCTTTCAATGTATTTTGAAAGCATACTGTTAGTTCTAACAAATGCTAAAATGCTCCAGGTCATGAATAAGGACTAGAAAAGTGCAAGGCACAGCTGTTGATGGGCAAAGGAGCTGCAGATTTTAAATGTGAGGAAGGCTGACGTCAGACATTGGTGATACTAAGGAAGAAAGACACAGGCAGCAAATCTATGGGTCAATAAGGAAAATTGCCAGCAAGGATACATTATTTTTTGTCCACATACAATTTATTTTCAAAAGAGTAGTTCTTAAATTACTAATGCATTTTATAATAAGTAACATTTTAGAATTAATAATTGAAATGCGAATGCTTTTATTATATTCCAGGGTGCACAACCAGGTGATTTAAAAAGGAACTTGAGAAGAAAGAGTAAGAATTTTTAACTAAATTATTGTATGAGTTTGCTTTTGGTAAATTTTTGAGCGAAATATTTGTTTCAAAAGTTGTAGTGCAGTGAGAAGTAGATGTAGTCCAAATGTACTAATAATATTACTTGGAAATGTTTTATTTTGTTCTATTATGAAGCAGTAAGTCTTATATAAGATCAGTAAGGAAAAGACAATACATATTTTTGCAAGTATAATTTGAAGATTCACAATTGGATAAAACAAAATAGATTCCTCCTAATAAAAGCATGGGGAAATTATATTAAACATGATCACAAATAAATCAAGAGGGACATTGTCATATGACAAAATGTTTAGTTAAAATGAAAGAATATAAAGAGGGATATATATAATCATTTAAATAATAAAAGCAATAGTTAATAACTACATAGAAAAAATTTAAACCATTAATAATAATCATTAAAAGGCATGCTATTATTAAAATACAACAGAAGTTATTAAATAAAATATTATTACTTTAGGGTTTATTTTTGAGAGAGAGAGACAGAATGTAAGCAGGAGAGGGTAGAGAGAGAGGGAGACACAGAATCTGAAGCAGGCTCCAGACTCTGAGCTATCAGCACAGAGCCCAACATGGGGCTAGAACTCACAAACTGAGAGATCATGACCTAAGCTGACATTTGACTGAGCCAATCAGGTGCCCCAAAGAAAATTATTAAAGGAGAAACATTGTTATAGGAGAAGATGAAGCATTCAATTATCAGCATATGGTTGGTAAAAATAAAAATTCTGCAAAAGAGGATATCTTTACTAAAATTAATAAGGAGGCATAAATAAATGATATTAAATGGACTAACAAAGATTATCTTTTATTATTGTTATTATTTTGATAGAGTGAGTGCAAGTTAGGGAGAGGCAGAGAGAGACAAAGAGAGCGAGAATCCCAAGCAGGCTCTGCACTGTCATTGCAGAGCACAATGCAGGTTCAAACTTATGAACTTGAGAGCATGACCTGAGATGAAACCAAGAGTCAGACACTTAACCCATTAAGCCACCCAGGAGCCCCAACAAGGATTATCTTTTTAGAAAATCATGGAGTGCTGACAAATAATTATGATATTTGTAAAAATGTTTTTACAAACAGTAAACTATTTCAAAATATAAAAGGATAAATGTTTTATTCTCAAATCACAATCAGAAATCTATTTTTGAAATGAGAAAATTCAAAATACTTAAAAATACCTGAATACTATTGGAATTTTCTCATTAAAATTAGAGGAAAATTACAAACTAAGTATGTAACAAGATTTTAAAAACGATTAAAATGTAATCAAAGAAATAAAGGATATAAGCAAAATGACTAATTATAAAATGAGGAAAGGAGGAAATAATAAGTATAATGATTCTTCCTGGCAAATTTAAAGATTTTAAAAAAGAAAAAAAGAGGAAGCAGGAACTAAATATTAAGAAAGGCTACATTAGTCAAAAAAAGAGGAAAGCTATTACATGGGTATAACAGAAACAAATAAAATTTATTCATATTGTTAAATTATAGAGGTATATATGAAGATATAACATATATGAATCTTTATGTACCAAGTAATACTTGGCCAACAGGATATGTTACCTACAGGAAATGTTAAAGGGGACTCTTTGAGTATAAAGAAAGACCATAAGTAAGATTAAGAAAAGTAGAAAGTTCAAATCAGTAAAAATAAGTATATCTGTAAAAATCAATCAAGGGACTCACAAAATAAAAGGGTGTAGTGTATGATACCACATACCAAAAATGTGGCAGGGAGAGGAGTAAAGAATGGGTTCAAATTTAAGCAACCATTAACTTAGTATAGACTTCTACATGCAGAAGATGTTCTATATAAAGTTGATGGTAACCACAAATCAAAAACCAATAATAGATATGCAAAAAATAAAGAGTAAAGAATCTAAGTACGTCACTAAAGAAAGCCAACAAACTGTGAGAGAAAAGAACATGAGAATAGAGAATCAGAGAAGGACTACAAAATCAACCACAAAACAAGTAATAAAATGGCAAAAATATATACCTGCTACTTTGAATGTAAATGGACCAAATAAAAGATGTAAGGTGAAATAATGGATTAAAAAACAAGACCCATATATATATATGCTGCTTATAGGAGATTCATGTCAAGACACCTGCAGATTGAAAACGAGGAATGGAAAAAATATCATGCAAATGGATGTCAAAAGAAAGTAGAAAAACTCATATTAGATAAACTAGACTTTAACTTTTTTTAACATTTATTTTTTTAAAAGTTTGTTGTCGGGGCGCCTGGGTGGCTTAGTCGGTTAAGCGTCCGACTTTCACTTAGGTCATGATCTCGCGGTTCGTGGGTTCGACCCCTGCGTTGGGCTCTGTGCTGACTGCCAGCTCAGAGCCTAGAGCCTATTTCGGAGTCTGTATCTCCCTCTCTCTCTGACCCTTCCCTGCTCATGCTGTCTCTCTCTATCCTAGAAATAAATAAAAATTAAAAAAAAAATAAAATAAAAGTTTGTTGTCAAGTTGGTTTCCATATAACACCCAGTGCTTATCCCCACAAATGCCCTCCTCCATGCCCATCAGCTCCCTTCCCCTCTCCCCCACACCCATCAGCCCTCAGTTTGTTCTCGGCATTCAAGAGTCTCTCATGGTTTGCCTCCCTTCCTCTCCCCAACTATTTTTCCTCTTCTTCTCCCCCATGGTCCTCCGTTAAATTCCTCCTAATCCACCTATATGTGCAAACATATGGTATCTTTCCTTCTCTGCCTGACTTATTTTGCCCAGCATAACACCCTCAAGTTCCACCTGTTATTTATTTTTGAGAGACAGAGTAAGACAGCGCACAAGTGGGGAGGATCAGAGAGAGAGAGAGGAAGGACACAGAATCCAAAGCAGACTCTGAGCTGTCAGCACAGAGCCCCATGCAGGGCTCGAACTCACAGACCATGAAATCATGACCTGAGCTGAAGTCAGGCAGTTAACTGACTGAGCCACCAAGCCATCCGTAGACAAACTGAACTCTAAAATAGACTGTAACAAGAGACAAATAAGGGCATTATATAATAAGAAAAGGGACAATCCAACAAGAAGATATAACAATTATAAATATTTATGCACCCAATATGAAAGCACTCAAACACATAAAATAATAGCAAACATAAAGGAATTAGTTGATACTAATACAATAACAGTAAAGGACTTTAACACCCAACTTACATTAATGGACAGATATCCAAACATAAAATAGACAAGGAAGCAGTGGCTTTGAATGACACACTGGGTCAGATAAATTTAACAGATACATTCAGAGCACTCCATCCTAAAACAGCAGAATACACCTTCTTTTTAAGTGCACATGGAACATTTTCCAGAATAGATAGCAAAATAGGCCACAAAACAAATCTCAACAAATTCAAAAAAACTGAAGTCTTACCATGCAGTTTTTTCTGACCATCACACACGAAACTAGAAATCAACCACAAGAAAATATCTGGAAAGAGCATCAGTAACTGGAGGTTTAAAAACATGCTACTAAACAATGAATGGGTCAACCAAGAAGTCAAAGAAAAAATAAAAAATTGCATCAAGAGAAATGAAAGTGAAAACATAATGGTCTAAAATTTGTTAGATGGAGCAAAAGCAGTTCTAAGAGGGACGTTTAAAGCAATACAGGAAGGAAAAGAAATCTCAAACTACGTAATACATCTAAAGGAGCTAGAAAAAGAATGAGAAATAAAACCTAAAACCAGCAGGAGAAAGGAAATAAAATT